TTAAAAGAAGTACACAACCAACAAGCTCTGAGTACTGCTACCCTCCCTTTGTATTTTATCTCCTCTCCCCGCTGTTTAGAAATTTGCTTATATTTTCTATCTCTTCCTCTTATCTTTTAAACATATTTAAAACATAGTTTTAATTTAAAAAAATAAAAGATGATTGAAACACTTGATTGTAACTTCAGTTTATTTTAGTATCTGCTTTTAATGAGTATCCTAAGTTAAAAAAAAAAATCCACACAAAAATTTGTTGCTGTTGCTATATGCCATCAGTTTGATACCAACTGATAGCAACCCTACAGGACAGAGTAGAACCGCCCCATAGGGTTTCCAGGGAGCGCCTGGTAGATTCCAACTGCTGACCTTTTCGGCTAGCAGCCTGAGCTCCTAACCACTTCACCACCAGTGCTCCACATGAAAAAAGGGAAAACTAAATAGAAGTAGTGTATCATTGGCTGTGCTTACCAGATCAGTATCATAAACATTTTCTAATCCCAGTCAAAATTATCAAAACCTATCTAGTAAATTTTTACCTTCCCTAATCAGAAGATACTGAATTTTTATAATTTTAACAAATGGGTCCAAAACATAACAAAACTCTTTAGAATACTTCAAACATATGAGGAAATTTCATGTCCAAGATTTCTAAGGGACAGATGTAAGAGTTTTTGACACACTGTCACTGTTTCTGGCAAGAAAATATGAACAAAAATAGTTCCAAACTTCTGTTTTCAAAATGCTAAACCCCCAGCACGTTTCTCTTACAAAGCTGTTACATTCTTATTGTTGAAATGACACCTTTATCTTGAAAAGACAGATTAAATGTTTATTTTCTTTGAAAATAGAGCTAAGTATCGTAATACATGTCATCATAATAAAAGCCAGCAAATTTAGAACATCTGTCCTTTGGTGAAATAAAAATGAGTTGAACAGAACTTTTACATACTTTGCCCCTAGGTAATCTTTTGTGATATCAAAGATTTTAATTGTCACTTCCCTCATCACCTATGTAGAATTTGTAAAAATTTACTCTATGTTAGAGAGTTTCTTTTTTTAAAATAAATTTATATCAAATTAACCAACTGATGATCTCCAGTAACACTTTTGGACTTCTTTACTGTTTATGAATGATTCCATGATCTTCAGTGCTATTTGCCTAAGTCTACAAGTATTTATTGAAGAATGCCAAAACAGGGAAAAGTAAATCCTTATACTAATGGCATTAATATTCTAGTGAGCGTAGATAAAAAATAAACACGACTATTATGTAAATATATACTATGTTCAATGGTAGTAAGTGCAGAGGAGAACAAACAAAGCAGGAATATTATGGCAGGAAGGGTACTTTAGATCTTAAATATGAAGCCCAGCATGGGCTTCACTGCTCAAGTGACTTCAATAAATAATAAAGGAAATGAGTGAGCAAGATATCTAAGAAGGTATTCAACAGAAAGGGAATAGCAACTGCAAAGGCCCTGAAGAGGATGTATGTCTGGTATATGCGAGGAAGAGCAAAGAGACCAGTGAGGCTGAAGGGAGTAATGAGGGGAAGAGTTGCAGGAAATGATGTGTGCAAAGTCCTGGTGGAGATGGTGAAGATCATGTAGAGCCTTGTACGTCATAGTAAGGACTCTTTTTTCTCTGAATGAGATGGGAAGTCATACAGAGTATTATGTAGAGCTGTGATGTGACAACTTATGCTATCTACCAATTTATTTATATCATGAATTTTTTTTCCCTGTGCATTAAAATCCAATACTATCATTTTGTGGCTGTTGTCGCTGCTCAAATTGGTCTAGCTTCGGCTCTAGCTCCCTCAGGTTGGGTCCTATGCTCTTTCAACAAGCCCTTATCTTTTCAAGCACTTCCTTACTTTCTCCTACCAGATAATGATCCAGGCTCATCTTGTATTATTCCTGCACCAGCCCTGTAATGAAGAATTTCTTAAGGAGCCATGATTCCTTTTATTGGAGGACAGTGGTTAGAAACCAAGATCTGGGTGCTAGGTTAGCTCACTGCTACTAGGATGTTGTTGCTTCTGGACCCTCTCGGCTGACAGAGCTAAGAAATATACATACTATCTCATGTGTATACACACATCTATGTTCTGCATCTGCCTGAATAAATATAAAAATTCTAAGGTTATACTGATACCTCTGATTCCAATCCAACACCACAAAGTTCATTTTAGCCTTTCCCCATCCCCTTTCTCCAGCACTGAGAAACCCGACTCTTATTATCTACAACATATTTACTTATTTGTTCAGTTCTATGAGTCGGGATCGACTCGATGGCAGCGGATTTAGTATACATATAAAATAGTTTCAGAATTGGTAAACGATACCCCTGTGAGATCATCAAATGTCTGCCAGTTTGTCACACTGTGATGACTTGTGTGCTGCTGTGATACTGGAAGCTTTGCCATCGGCAGTCAAATACCAGCAGGGTCATCCTTGGTGGATAGGTTTCAGTGGTGCTTCCAGACTAAGACAGACTAGGAAGAAGGACTTGGCAAACTACTTCTGAAAAAACTGAACAAGGTCAGGGGCAAACAGCGGAACAGACCATCAATTGCTCATATGCAAGTTGAAGCTGAAGAAAATTAGAACAAGTCCAGGAGAGCCAAAGTATGGCTTTGACTATATCCCACCTAAATTTAGAGACAATCTCAACAATAGATTTGACACACTAAACACTAACGACCGAAGATCAGACAAGTTCTGGAATGACATCAAGGACATCATACATGAAGAAAGCAAGAGGTCATTAAAAAAACAAGAAAGAAAAGACCAAAATGGATATCAGAAGAAACTCTGAAGCTTGCTGTTGAATGTAGAGTAGCTAAAGCAAAAGGAAGAAATGATGAAGTAAAAGAGCTGAACAGAAAATTTCAAAGGGCAGCTAGAGAACACAAAGTAAAGTATTATAATGAAATGTGCAAAGACCTGGAGATAGAAACCCAAAAGGGAAGAATACACTCAGCATTTTTCAAACTGAAAGAATTGAAGAAATATTTAAGCCTTGAATTGCAATACTGAAGAATTCTACAAGGAAAATATTAAACAACGCAGGAAGCATCAAAATAAGATGGAAGGAAAATACAGTGTCACTGTACCAAAAAGAACTGGTCAACGTTCAAACATTTCAGGAGGTAGCATATGATCAACAACTGATGGTACTGAAGGAAGAGGTGCAAGATGCAGTGAAGGCACTGGCGAAAAACAAGGCTCCAGAAACTGACAGAATACCAATTGAGATGTTTCAACAAAAGGATGCAGTGCTGGAAGTGCTCACTCGTCTATGCCAAGAAATTTGGAAGACAGCTACCTGGCAAACTGACTGGAAGAGATCCATATTTGTACCCATTCCAAAGGAAGTGATCCAAAAGAATGTGGAAATTATCAAACAATATCATTAATATCACACACAAGTAAAATTTTGCTGAAGATCATTCAAAAGCGGTTGCAGCAGTACATCGACAGGGAACTGCCAGAAATTCAAGCCAGATTCAGAAGAGGACATGGAACAAGGGATATCTCTGCTGATGCCAGATGGATCAGGACTGAAAGCAAACAATACCAGAAAGGTGTTTGCCTGTGTTTTATTGACTATGCAAAAGTATTCAATTGTGTGGATCATAACAAATTATGGATAACACTGCGAAGAATGGGAATTCCACAACACTTAATTTGCTCATGAGGAACCTGTACTTAGATCACGAGGCAGTCGTTTGAATAGAACCAGAGGATACTGCATGGTTTAAAGTTAAGAAAGGTGTGTGTATCCTTTCATCATAATTATTCAATTTGTATGCTGAGCAAATAATCCAAGAAGCTGGACTATATGAAGAAGAATGGGGCATCAGGACTGAAGGAAGACTCCTTAGTAACTTGTGATATGCAAATGACACAACCTTACTTGTTGAAAGTGAAGAGGACTTAGCTGATGAAGACCAAAGACCACAGCCTTCAGTATGGATCAAACCTCAACATAAAGAAAAAACAATCCTCACAACTGGACCAATAAGCACCATCATAATAAATGGAGAAAATATTGACGCTGTCAAGGATTTCATTTTGCTTGGATTCAAAATCAATGCCCACGGAAACAGCAGTCAAGAAATCAAATGACACACTGCATTTGGCAAATCTGCTGCAAAAGGCCCCTTTAAAGTGTTAAAAAGCAAAGATGTCACTTTAAGGGCTAAGGTGTGCCTGACCCAAGCCATGGTGTTTTCAATCACCTCATATACATGTGAAAGCTGGACAATGAATAAGGAAGACTGAAGAAGAATTGATGGCTTTGAATTATAGTGTTGGTGAAGAACAGTAAATATATCATGGGCTCCCAGAAGAACAAACAAATCTGTCTTGGAAGAAGTACAGCCAGAATGCTCCTTAAAAGCGAGGACGGTGAGACATCGTCTCACGTACTTTGGACATGTTATCTGGAGGGACCAGTCCCTGGAGAAGGACATCACACTTCATAAAGCAGAGGGTCAGTGAAAAAGAGGAAGATCCTCAATGAGATGGACTGACACAGTGGCTACAACAATGGGTTCAAGCATAACAACAATCATGAGGATGGCACAGGACTGGGCAGTATTTTGATCTGTTGTACACAGGGTTGCTACGAGTCAGAACCAACTCGACAGCACCTAACAACCACAACAACAATAAATTTCTATAGTAATCATTTAATAATTAATTCTTGCAAGTGAGCTTTTCTGGTGACTACAGTAAATGCTTAAGGAGGCCTGGTATCACAGTGGTTAAGTGCTCAGCTACTAACTGAAAGGTCGCTGCTTCGAACACACATCAGCCACTCCTCGGCAAAAGATATCACAATCTGCTTCCATAAAGATTACAGCCTTGGAAACCCTATGGAGCAGTTCTATTCTGTCCTAAAGGGTCACTGTGAGTCAAAATCAACTCAACAGCACACAACAGAGTAACTGTTATAATTCTCTGGTTTAAACACTTCTTCTTTCCACTTACTTCTGTGCTCCCTGAGACAACAGCTTTGTCCACATTCACCGATAATGGTTCTTCCATCTGGCATACTCCCAGTGACCACTCCACACAACGGTGATGAGCCCAGCAAGTGCCTAAAATGGTATAAGTGAAAACGAGTAAATGAATAAGCATTAAAAGACATCAGAGCTAATACATAAAGACATAAAGCCCCAAAATCAGCTCTAGTGTGTAAATATGTAATTGTTGTGTGCCACTGAGTCGATTCCCACTCACAGCAACCCAACAGGACAGAGAAAAACTGCCTCATAGGGTTTCCTAGGCTGTAATCTTTACAAACCGAGTGCTGGTGGCAAAATGGTTAAGTGCTCAGCTGCTAACAGAAAAGAGGGCAGTTCAAACCCACCAGCCGCTCTGTCGGAAAAAGATGTGACAATCTCCTTCCATAAAGATTGCAGCCTTGAAAACCCTATCCAACAATTCTACTCAGTCCTATAGGATCACTACATATAAGCTGGAATCAAGTCAACAGTACATAATAACAACAATGATGTTTATGGGAGCAAATTACCAGGTCTTTTCTTCCACATAGGGGCTGGTGGGTTCAAAGAGCCGACCTTTTGGTGAGCAGACCAGCGCTTAACCACTGTGCAACCATCCCATCTGCCCATCCCATTGCTGTTGCGTTGATTCTGACTCACAGCAACTGTATAGGACAGAGTAGAACTCCTCCATAGGGTTTCCAAGGCTGTAAATCCTTACAGAAGCAGATTGCCACATCTTTCTCCTATAGAGCAGCTGGTCGATACGCCGACCTTTCAGTTAGCAGCTGAGTGCTTAACCACTGAGTCACCAGGGCTCCTTAAATACACAATGGCATCCTATACAGGCAGTCGCAGACTTACAATGGGGTATACGGTTCCGTTCCAACAACTCCGCTGTAAGTTGGTTCTGACATCAGCTGGACACCTTTTTTTTTAAAGTATTCATTATTATCAGTATCTTTACAAATTTGATCTTTATTTTATTTGTCTTTGGGGGTTGGAAACATTATATAATCTGCTCTGGTACATATTCTTCATCTTCCCTTATCTTGTCCAGCCTATCATTAAATTGTTCGGCAGCTTCAATATTGGTGCTTTCTGCTTCTCCAGTTATCTATACATTATGTAAGTCAAATCTGCGTTTGAAGTGATGAAACCACCCCTTGGTGGTATTAAAGTGCTCGCCATAGTCTTCTCCTTGCTGTTCCTTCAGGTTTTCAAAAAGGCCGTGTGCTTTCATTTGAATCGTCAGTAAAATCATAGGAATCCTCTTCTGGATTTGGTCTTCTATCCAAATCAGCAACAGCTTTCTTCTCTATCTCGTGGATTGGTCCTTGCCTCTTCCTTGGTGAAAGTGTCGATTTTATGCCAATCACTCCTTTAACTGCCTCCAAAATCCTATTCTTACCCTTAATGATTGACGAGAAGGTCGACTGAGACAGTCCTTCCTCATGTGCTAATTCACTAACTTTCTTGCCATTATCATATGCTTTAGTGATCTTCATCATTATATCCATGTCTAGAGGCTATCTCACCTTCTCTCTTGGATTAGAACTTACAGTGGCATGATTTCTTTGCTAGACATATTAATGGAGGTATAAGTAGTGCAGGTGTTACAGTGTGAGAAACTTGAACAAGTCGGCTTCAAATTAACAACTGATGCTTCAGATGGTACAAAACTCTGAATACGATCATGCTACAGGCCTGGTCTACAACGAAGTCAGAGTCAGTGGCACAACAATGAAGTCAGAGTCAAAATGGCTGTCAGGCATGTACACAGTTCAATTGTTGTATATCGTTAAAGAGTTGAACACTGCCCAACTTTCTCTCCGTTATAACTCCCAATGTCAACACCAACTTCACTGCAGGCAAGGCCATAGCCTGCTATACGAGTGTTCTGAACAGTAAATCATAACACTGAACATTTGTGAGTGAACCTCTAGAACGGTAATATCAGCAAATTACACGCTGCAACATTGTCTGCAGTACATATTACTAACAATAACATGCACCAAAAAAAACAAAAGGTCGTAAGTGTGGTTCGTTGCAATTTTAGCATGTCGTTCAGTCTGGGACTACCTGTATTTGTGATACATTAAATCCCCAGTTCTCAAAATGGGCAGCATCAATACCATTTGGGAACTTACTAGAAAAATCTCAGGTCCCAACTGAAACCTACAAAATCAAAAACTCCTGCAGTGGGGCCCAACAATCTAAGCTTGAACAACTCTTACAGGTAATTCTGATGCAAGCAAAATCTTAAGAATCATTGAATTAGAAAATAAGGCATTATGAAAAAGCAAAATTTCCAGATCCAAATCTTATTTCATCAAAAAACAAAATTAGTTTATACTCATTTTTACTTTAATATTACTATAAGATATATTTGGTATCTTTACATAAAACATATAGGAAATTACTTAATACTTCGAGGATGACAAAGGAAATGGTAAACACATCATACATACTCCTCCATTCCCATCTATCCCACAGCGATGACACGAATCTGTAATTAATAACAGTTCAGTCTTTAAATTCTCCATCATATAGGACTTGAACCACTATCAATCAATCTGCAGCTCAACCGTAGAACGAAATTTCCTTAAAACCCCAACAGCACCATGTCACAAGTTTGAGTTACTATACTGTTATAATAGGATACTGTGATGGTTAAGGTTATGGGTCATCTTGGCTAGGCCATGATTCTCAATGGTTTGGCAGATAGTATGTAATCATCCTCCATTTTGTGATCAGATGTAAGCAGTCAATTACTTGAAAGTGGAGTTTCCTTGGAGGTGTGGCCTGCATCCGATATATTTGGATGTTATGACAAAGCTCGTTCTCACTGGATTCTGAATCCAACTCGTCATCCTCTGACCTCTGCTTCTTGGGACGTGTACCAAGCAGCCTGCCATCTGATCTGCAGACTTTGAGATTCACCAGCAGCCTGCCGTCTGACGTGCTGATTTTGGGTTTGTCAGCTGTGGCAACCATGTCAGTCAGGAGAAGCCTCCAGGCTAACAAATGACCCACATATTTGGGACTTGTTAGCCTCCACAACTGCTTGAGTCTCTTCCTTGAAATAAATCTCTCTCTCTCTCTCTCTTTCTATATATATATATATACTTCACTGGCTCTGCTCCTCTACAGAACTCAGCCTAAGACATTTGGTACTGAGTGGTTCTACAGGAACAAAATCATAAAGATGAGTTTTCTGAACTGGTTCTCAAGTCTGGCTAGTCTTAAAGAAGCTGATGCCTCTGCCTCCAGTACTAAAGGAGGCACTGCTAATTCATGGCATGAGATGGCAATCGAAATACGCAAAATATCAAATATTTCTGAGAGACAAGGCTCTTGGTGATTGCATATTTGATACTTTTCTACAATTCTGTCAGAATTAAGAAGTATACAGAGACTGGTCAGTTGGTCCTGCATTTGCTAGACAAAGTGGTAAAAGAAAGAGATGAGCTCAGGGTTTCAGAGTCAGAGCTCAAGCACAGCATAAAAGATCTGAAAGTTACTACTTGTGCCCTGAAAGAAAGCCTTCTTTCTTGTAGTAACAGATCTGATACTGTCAAAAACGAAACCCAAAATCTTATCCTAAGAGTGGCTGAATTACAATGGCAATTGAATTCAAACTTCAAATGGTGTCTGAAGTTACAGTGAGGGCACTGATTGGAAAGAAAAGGGATACTGAAAATTGGGATGGGGACATACAACCTGATAATCAGGATGCTGGGGACACTGAGCCTCTAACTTTCATTGAGTCACTCCTGCCAACAGAACCAGCCCTCTTACTCCCACCTGAAGCAATTATATCATCTTTGTCTGTTAAGTCTCCCCCTCCCCAGTAAAACCACTATTCCTTCCACCGCCATGAGATTCACTCAACTGCGCCAAAAGAGTCTTTGTCTGAGATGTTGCCTGGGGCGTTGCCTGGGGCATTGCCTGGGGTATCACCTGAGACAGGTGCCTTACAAGACGTTGCTGAAGGTCCCCAGGACCCATCTCCACCACCCATTTTTGCTTCTAGACCTATAATTAGACTTAAGTCCCAGTGAGTCCCAAGAGGTGAAGTATAACGTGTGACCCAGGAGGCAATATGCTATGCTCCAAAAGAAAAGCTTGACTTTTCTAATATATACAAACCAATCTGGGGAATATGTGTGGGAATGATATAAAGAAGGTATCCAAAGGCTTAAGGAAACTGGCACAGTAGAGTGGATTTATCAGGTTGGATCCACAGACCAAATACATGGAGAGCACAGAGGACACACCTTCTACTGTATTGGTGAGGAAAAAAACTTGTGAAGGGAGCCCCAGTATCCTTGAAGACTGCTATGATTGTTATTTTACGTAAGTCAGATTTGACAGTAGGAACTGCCCTAACTGAATTAAGACACCTAACTACAACGGGGCTGATTGGACCCCATGGTGGTTAAGGGGCTAACTGGTGGAACTTAACAAAGAAATGGTGGGTGTGGTTACCATAAGGGACAGCAGAGTCAAAGCAGTAATCAGAATAGTCTGACTCATATGGACTTATGCCATTGGCTACTTAGTCACGGTGTCCCTAGGAGTGAAACAGACCGGAAATCTACTTGATTATTTACTTGATCTGTACAAGCAGAAAAATGCTAGATAAAGTGAACACCAGTCTAACTCAAATTATCAGAATAGAGTCATGGCCGTTCAATCAATTCTGAGACTTGAGCCACTTTACAGACCCATAACACCTTGAAGGAAGGGGAGGCTGGGTCCCCTTGAGGAAGGACCCTCACTATCCTGCCAAAAATTTATACTGTAAATCTTTCTCCCAGTCTTCCCCAAAGTGATCTACAGCCTTTTATGAGAGTGACTTTTCATTGGGGAAAAGAAAATAATCATACTTTCCAGGGACTACTGGACAGTGGCTGTGAACTGACACTAATTTCAGGAGACCCAAAACATCACTGTGGCCCACCAGTCAGAGTGGGGTTGTATGCAGGGTCAGTTACTAATGGAGTCTTAGCTCAGGTCAGTCGTACAGTGGGTCCAGTGGGTCCCCAAAGCCATCTGCTAGTGATTTATCCAGTTCCAGAATGCTAATTGGGATAGACACACTCAGCACCTGGCAGAACCAACACACTGGATCCCTGACATGTGGAGTAAGGGCTATTATGGTAGGAAAAGTGAAGTGGAAGCCATTAGAACTGCCTCTACCTAGGAAAATAGTAAACCAAAAGCAGTAACACCTTCCTGGAGGGACTGCAGAGATTAGTGCCACCATCAAGGACTTGAAGGTGTGGAGATTCCCACCACATCCCCATTCAACTTGCACATTCGGCCTGTGCAAAAACCGGACGGATCTTGGAGAATGACAGTGGATTATCGAAAACTTAACTTGGTGACTCCAATTGCAGCTGCTGTTCCAGATGTGGTTTCACTGCTTGAGTAACTTAATACATCTCCCGGTACCTGGTATGCAGCTATTGATCTGACTTATACCTTTTCCTTGATTCTGGTTTCAAAGGAACACCAGAAGCATTTTGCCTTCAGCTGGCAAGCTGAGCAATACACACTCACTGTCCTACCTCAGAAGTATATCAACTCTCCAGCCCTATGTCATAATTTGGTCTGCCAGGATCTTGATCACCTTTCCCTTCCACAAGAAGTCAGACTGGTCCATTACACTGATGACATAATATAGACTGGACCTATTAAGGAAGAAGTATCAGTGACTCTAGACTTTTTGGTAGGACATTTGCATGTTAGAGATGCGAAATCAATCCAACAAAAATTCAGGTGCCTTCCACCTCAGTGACATCTCTACAGGTCCAGTGATGTAGAGCATGTCAAGAATTCCTTCTAAAATGAGGGATAAATTGTTATGTCTGGCACCTTCTGCCACCAAAAAAAAAAAGGCACAATGCCTGGTGGGCCTCTTTGTTTGTTTTTTTATTGTGCTTTAGGTAAAAGTTTACAGCTAAAGTTAATTGCTCACTCAAATTTTATACAGATACTGGTTTGTGACATTGGTTGCAATCCCCACAATGTGACAGCATACTCCCCTTTTCCACCCTGGGTTCCTTGTGTCCATTCGTCCAGTTCCTGTCCTTTCCTGACTTCTGCTTTTGGGCAGGAGTTTCCCATTTGGTCTCGTATATTTGATTAAACTAAGAAGCATGTTCCTCATGTGTGCTATTTTTTGTTTTATATACCTGTCTAATCTTTGAAAAGTGGGCTTCAGGAATGGTTTCAGTTCTGCGTTAGCAGTGTCCAGGGGCCACAGTTTCAGGTGTTCTTCCAGTCTCTGTCACACCAGTAAGTCTGGTCTTTATTCGTGAATTTGAACTCTGTTCTAAATTTTTCTCCTGCTCTGTCCAGGACTTGGTGGGCCTCTTTCGATTTTGGAGGCAATATATCCCTCATTTGGATGTGCTCCTCTGGACTATTTACCAAGAGCCTTGAAAAGCTGCTAGTTTTGACTGGGGCCCAGAAGAAGAGAAGGCCTGCAACAGGTTCAGGCTGCCATGCAAGCCGTTCTGCCTCTTGGGCCACGTGATCCAGCTGATCCAATTCTTGAAAGTGTTCTTGAAGTGTCAGATGCAGACAGAGATGCTGTTTGGAGTCTATGGCAGGCTTCTAATGGTGAATCACAGTGCAGACCCTTAGGGTTTGGGATCAAAGCTCTGTCATCTTCTGCAGATAACTACTCTCCTTTTCGGGACAGCTTTTGGCTTGTTACTGGGCCTTAGTAGAGACTGAATACCTAACCATGGGCCACCAAGTCACTTGTGGCCTGAACTACCCATCATGAACTAAGCTTTGTCTGACTCACAGAGTCATGAAGTGGAACGTGCACAGCAGCCCTCCATTATTAAATGGAAGTGGTATATACAAGATTGGGGTCCAGTGGGACCCGATGTAAATGATACGAAGTAGTCCCCACTCCTGTCACATTACCTTCCTTCTCCCAGTCTGAAACTATGGCCTCATGGGGAGTTCCTTATGATCAGTTGACTGAGGAAGAGAAAACTTGTGCCCAGTTTGCAAATGGTTCTATGTGATATGCAGGCACCACTTGGAAGTGGACGGCAGCAGCCCCTTTGTGGGATCTCCCTAAAGGACAGTGGTGAAGCAATACCCTCCCAATGGGCAGAACTTTGAGCAGTACACTTGGTTATTTTTGCTGCAAAGGAGAAATAACTAGATGTGTTACTGTGTACTGATTCACAGGCTGTGGTCAATGATTTGGCTGGATGGTCATGGACTTGGAAGGAACATGACTGGAAAATTGGTGACAAGGAGGTATGGGAAAGAGTTACGTGGACAGACCTCTCTGAATGGGCTAAAGAAGTAAATACATTTGTTTCTCATCTGAATGCTCACCAAAGTGTGATCTTGGCAGAGAAGGATTTTAACAGTCAAGTGGACAGGATGACGCATTCTGTGGATATCAGTCAGCCTATTTCCCCAGCCACTCCTGTCATCGCCCAATGGGCTCAGGAATGAAGTGCCATGGTGGCAGAGATGGAGGTTATGCATGGGTTCAGCAACATGGACTTCCACATACCAAGGCCAATGTGGCTACAGCCACTGCTGAATGCCCAATCTGCCAGCAGCAGAGACCAACAATGAGTCCCTGATATGACACCATTCCTAGGAGCGATCAGCACTCCACCTAGTGGCAGGTTGATTACATCGGACCCCTTCCATCATGGAAAGGGCAGCATTTTGTTCTTACTGGGATAGACACATACACTGGATACAGATTTGCCTTCCCTCCATGCAATGCTTCTGCCAAAATTACCATCTGTGCACTTACAAATTGCCTTAATGTTTTTCATGGTACCCAACATAGCACTGCCTCGGATCAAGTAACTCAATTCATAGCAAATGAAGTGTGGCAATGGGCCCATGCTCATGGAATTCACCTGTCTTACCATGTTGCCCATCATCCTGAAGCAGCTGGCCTGATATAACAATGGAATGGCCTTCTAAAGACACAATTATGGTGCCACCTAGGTGGCAATACATTGCAGGGATGGGGTAAAGTTCTCCAGGAGGCTGTATATGCTCTAAACCAGTGTCTAATGTATGATTCTGTTTCTTTCATAGCCAGGATTCATGGGTCCTAGAATCAAGTGGTAAAAATGGGAGTGGTGCCACTCACTATTACCCCTAGTGACCTACTCATATAATGTTTACTTCCTGTCCCCGTGACCCTATACTCTGTGGGTGTAGAGATCTTGGTTCCAAAGGGAGGACTGCTCCCACCAGGAGACGCAACACAGATTCCACTGAACTGGAAGTTAATAATGCCACCTGGCCACTTGGGGTCCCCATGCCTCTGGAACAATAGGCAAAAAAGGGAGATACCGTATTGCTTAGTCTGACTGATCTTGATTTCTGATATTACATAATGGAGGTAAAGAAGAGTATGTCTGGAATATATGAGATCCCTTAAGAGTCTCTTAGTACTACCATGCCCTGTGAGTAAAGTCAAAGGAAAACTACAGCACTTAATTCTGACATGACTACTAATGGCCCAGACTCTTCAGATATGAAGATTTGGGGAACTCCACCAGGCAAAGAACCATGACCAGCTGAGGTGCTTGCTTAGGGCAAAGGGAATATGGAATGTGTGGTAGAAGAAGGTAGTTCTAAATAATAGCTACAACCATGTGACAAGTTGCAGAAACAAGGACTGTAATTGTTTTCAGTATTTCTTCCTTGTTTCGTTATATGTGTATGAGTTTGTGTGTGCATGTGTATATATTTAAAAATATATACGTATGTAGATATATGTATGTGTGCGTGTGTGTGTATATATATACACACACACATATATATACACATATACATACACACACACATATAGTTTTCTTCCCCTCCCTTATTCTACTACTTATTATGAAATATAAGATGCAAACAGGGCTGGTGTGTTTTCGATTTTACGCATGTTAGTTGTATAATGTTAGGCATAAGTATGACTCTGTAATTGCCTTTATTTAGACATTATGTATGGCTTAAGGAGATGTGTACAGGTGCCAAGTTGACAAGGGGTGAACTATTATGGTTAAGGTTATGTGTCAACTTGACTAGACTATGATTCTCAGGGGTTTGGCAGATATGTGTAATCATCCTCCATTCTGTAATCTTATGGGAGCAGCCAATCACTTGAAAAGGGAGTTTCCTTAGGGGTGTGGCCTGCATCCAATACATATGCACATTCTGGCAAAGCTCACTCTCTCTGGATCCTGCATCAACTCATCATTCTCTGACCTCTGGTTCTTCAGACATGAGCCAGCAGCCTACCCTCTGATTGCAGATTTGGGGATTTGCCAGCTCTCTCAGCCCCACGAGCCAGCAGACTGCCATCTGACTGGCTGATTTTGGGTTCATCAGCCCCTGCAACCACGTGAGTCAAGACAAGCCTCCAGCCTGATGTCTTTCACGGGTTTGGGACTTGCCAGCCTCCACAACTGTGTGAGCCATTTCCCTGAAATAAATCTCTATTTCTATATACGTGAGTATATATAGATACAGACATATATATCGATACAGCTTCACTGGTTTTGCTCCCCTAGAAAACCCAGCCTAAGACAGATGCTTACATGGCTAAGATCTGTCCTATACCTCTACATTAAATAGACCCAGACTGCCATGTTCTTCTTCCCAGTTCTCAATCCCTTTAAGATTTTCTCTTTCCTTAATTGTCAAACCATGGTACTACTGTCTACACAAGAGTAAATGGAAATATTTACAAAAGCATCCAGCCCAGTGTTGCCACTGTCCACATGCTAAATAAAGTGTTGTTGTTGTTAGTTGTCCCCAAGTTGATTCTGACTCATGGCCAAACCAGGTATACTTAATTTAACAATTACATTTTTTACAATGTGATCATAATTATTTCTAGATAAAAGGTATCTACTACTAAGTTGATAATTCACTAAAATTATAAAATGCTTGCAGAATCAAGAGGTAATTATTATTGAAGACCTACTTAATAATCCTACCTGTAGTATCAAATAAGGCCTGGACATCGATGGCATCTGGAAGGCCAACCAGACTGAGTTCATCCCATAATTTACCAGCCTGATCATCTGAAGCAGTTTGGGTGCTTACATTTACACATGATATTATAATCTGCTGAGGAGATCGTTCTCTGAAAAAACACAAAGAAAGAAAATAGGTGTGAAAATGATAGCAACTAGAAAATTGTCTTTTATTATAAAAAGGTAGGCACAATATACTGCTACAACAATTTTAATTCATTAGGCGTAAGTTAACATAAAACAACTTTCAGAATTCATCTGTTATTATTCATAGTATAATATAAAACTGGGTTGCTGAATTATATCAGTAAGCAACAACTAGAAAAAAATTAAGTCTTCAAGTCCATAAGGAAATGTTAAAAGTTACAACTGTAAATTTATTTTGAAATTCTATAATACAAATTAAAAAAAAACTGACACCCTCATATTCGAGTCAGGAACCATTTTTATCACATAAAATGAATATTCCCTTTGGCTTAAGTTAAATGCTTACAAAACATAACTTGATCAAATCAGAAATTTTTAATTTGCTTTATCCTAAACAGGACCGCAACAATGGAGCTGAAAGTTATTTTTATGTAAAGAAATTACTTCCTAGGGGAAATGAAAACCCACTACAAAATGTGAAGAGAGGCAGAGGGAGTGGAACATGTCAGCTATGGCTTTCTTACAGTCCCCTCCACAAATCTCGACAGTGGTCTGTGGCATGACATTGCAAGTACTCTCAATTAAGTAAAATGCAAAAAAAAAAAAAAGCTACTAATGGCATAGGGAATAAGAAAGACAGCTAACAGCAAAAACTATAGTAAAAATAAATGTTGAAATAAGGTGTACAACAAATGAGAGATTTCAGACTTTCAAGGCCCTAAAACTTCAGGTATTATTTAAGATTATTAAGTAAACAAAGATTACTATTGTGTTTAACATGAAATATGGGAAATCAGATGACTGCCACTAAAACTTTAATCTTCTCCAGGTATTACAGTATTTAACCTCATCAAAATTCTGGATTAAATCACTATTGAATATAGATCATAACCCACTGCACTTCTGTATGCTGGATGTTTATCATGATTCTTACTAAGAGCACAATGACCAGGGTACTAAACTTTGTTATACCTGGAATCATTGAAAGGAAAGAAATATTAACATATTTCAATAAGTACGTTCAAATATCAAACCATATAAAAGTAATCAGCAATTATTTTTATGTTCAGCATTAGAAATGCAAAAACTTTCACTTTTTAAAAAGGTTTAGTGTGCTATGCTAATTTTTAATTCTCGATTTTATAAATGCCCACCCTAAAATGAGAAAAAATGCTTTCCAATAATATAACCTCCATTCCTATAAATATAAAGTTCATTACTAAGCTTTGTTATTTTACTGGGAGGAGGGAAAAAAAATGACTAACATTTCATCTTTAATGTATTTTTTAACATATTTTCTCTGCACCGGTATTTGATGAGATTAAAGGTGTAAATATCAATGGAATGACTAACCAGTCTATTACTAACCAGTTCCAAATCAGGAACTGGTTATTATTCATAGTATGACCAAATTCAACCTTCAGACTCGTTTGTTTGTATGCACCGTATCATTAAGATGTCAATGTGAATCCTAACGATGACAGTAACCCAGTTTAGCTGAAATATACACCTCCCAAATTTTAAGTCATAAAATAAATGGTAAGGAAAAAACTGATTGTATATTCTTATATTTATTACAACTGAGAGGAAAAAATTATTTTTAAAACCTTTTCAAATTTGAAAAAAAATTGACTTTATCTGGTTTCTGATTTATTAGTAACATATTTTATAATCGTTACCAACGTAAATTAATTGTCTATGCCTAAATGAGTTCCAAAAGTTTGTAAATGTACTTCATTCCTAAGGCTTGTTATCATTACTTAATAACTTGGTAAATACAAAATGTATATAAAGACTTTCATTGAACCAAGGCTATTTTTATGTAATTATCTTAGCCTATACAAGTTTTCACTAAAAATTAACTTAGCTTATAAAATAAGAAGTAAATAAAGCCCAACTGTATTTCCCAAAACAAGTTTACAATATAATTGTCATTAATCAAGGCAGAACATGAAGTCCATTAAATCGGTTAATTGCTGAGGGACATCATAAGCCTGCTGACTTTTGATATATTTTATTAAGTTGGGAGCACTCAACTGATAGCAAAAAGGTAAACCTCTTATATGATCTAGCTATAGCCTCCAAACTATCAATTATCTCTAAATACTGTATTTTTAGGCCTCCTTAAAATGTTCCACCTTAAATTCTTTTCAAACATTCTCTGTCTTGTTATTGTTTCCTTTCCTACTTTGGGTCTTCCAGGCATTGGCAGTAGTCCAAAACAAGGAGCCAATCAAATGAATACAACACAACAATGCTTTAGAACTTAAATTTGGATATAAGCCAGATAAGCACTTGGATGATTACATCATCACCCTCAAGGGGCAAAGATGGTTAGCTTCCAAGCTAAACTAATTTTTACACTTTCTCATCAACTACAGAAACTTCTACTCCAACAGCCAGCACAGCCAAGTCCACGTATTCAGATGACCCTAAAACAAAACTGTAAGCATATTAAAAAAAAAGATTAAGTTCAGAAAGCAAATATATTAGACAAGAGTTTTAAGTGACTATAATGATTCCCATGAATATACACACACATATAACACATATGTAGTTATATAAAAATCTTACTTTATTCATCTAAAAAAAAAAGCATCTTTAGCTTTAAAAAGGGCATTCTCAGTATATAACATTAAAAAAAAAAAAAAAAAAGAAAGTTAACACCATATCATGATGAGATTTTACAGGACTGATCAATATTCTCTGAACCATTAAAAAAAATGACACACGAAGGACATGAGTGGTAAAGAAAACAGTTCTAGTTTTGCTACTGAGTACAAGCAATTAAAAACTTATTTAGTGGAAGGAAAGAAGGACTTCATTAATCTATTTTATCTTCTTTCCACTTACGGATAAATTCCACGAACTCCTTCTCGGTTTATGTTATGTTCTTTAAATTTTTCTTCCAAAAGTTATACACACTGATTTTGTTAATATACAATTAAGATAAACTTTTTTTTAATACAAGAAATTTTGAGGAAAGGAAGGTTTATTAGGTTAATGTTGGCTCATAACGTATCCTATGCATGTTGAAAACATGAGAAACTAACAGTCACACCAGTTATATACTTATAAACAATATAATGAAAATAAACTATATATAGCCTTATTTCCATCCAGCAATTTAAATTCAAAATTGCTTACTTTCTCTGTCCTCTTTGTTTTCGTGGTGCTGTGTTTTGTATTTTCTCACAGGTTCCATTGCTGTTGTCATCAATGTCCTTCTTGTTAGAAGGTTGGTTTTTCCGCGGCAAGATAAATCCAGGCGTTACTCTGAATTGTTTTAAGTCTCCTTGTCCTAAGGAACTTTTTTCACCACAGTAACAAAAAGCGCAGAGCCGTTCACTGGTAAAAATGAAGTGAGCAAGACAGAGAAGAAGAAAAGTAGCTTTATTCAACTACTTTAAGTGACAGACAACTACAGATAATTGTGCTTTAAAAACATTCAGGTATAAAATTAAGTGTTATGTCTTTAGTGCAAGCTAAACTTTTCAGTATATTTTCTATAGTCTATTTACTGATTGTATCATAAGAATAATTAATAAAAATTACAACTTACAATTCTGATTTTCCATAGTATGATTTTTCTTTTAATAAGTAAATATACCAAATCAAAAAATTTTAGTTTGTGCTTACCAAAACACCAAACCCACTGCCGTGGGAGTTGATGCCAACTCGTAGCGACTCTACAGGACAGAGAAGAACTGCCCCATAGGGTTTCCAAGGCTGTAAATCTTTATGGAAGAAGACTGCCAAATCCTTTTCCCATAGGGCAGCTGGTGGGTTAGAACTGCTGACTTTTGTACTTAGAAAAACAATTTTCTTTTATATCTAACTAAAGAAAATTCTAAGTATTATTAAAAATAACACTAAAGTGGGGAGTGGGGGGAGAACATAGGGTTTAATGACCACCCAATTCCATACCAGCTCTGTAAAACATTCTGGAACAAAGTTTAATTTAACCAGTGGATAGAAAGTTCTTTATGAACGGTAATACATATCTCTCTCTCTCTCTCTCTCACACACACACACACAAATCTAAGTGGTTACCAGAGGCTCAAGGGCAGAGGGTAAGAATAGGTGAGGCAAAGGGAGTTTTTAGGGTGGTGGAACTATTCTGTATGATACAATAATGGTGGACACATGAAAATATCCATTTGCCAAAATCTTTAGAACCGTAGAACACAAAGTAAACACTAATATAAATTATGAACTCTAGTTAATAATCAATATTGGTTCTTCAGTTATAACAAATATACTAGATTAATGCAACATATTAATAAAGGAAATTGTATGTGGGGGAGAAGGGGTATATATGGGAACTCCATACTATTTTCTCAATTTTTCTATAAACCAAAAAACTGTTCTAAAAATAGTCTATTAATTTTAAAAAGAGAAGAAGCTACTTAAAAAGTTAAAGGACAAGACGTTGTATACATTTATGGAATTTACACTTAATGTGGAATCTTAGAAAGAATAAAATTGAAAGAATCTCTGTTCTTGGATACATTTTCTCTTCCACATACCTAAATCTTTCATCTCAAGCATTAAAGTCTCCATTAATACCTCTATAGTATCTACCCCATGAACTTTACATGATATCTTATCATTAACAGGTGTAGCTGTAGTCTTCTGTGGTGATATTATACTTCTCTTAACTTTCAAAGTTAAGTTCATTTTGGCCTCTCTCAACTAATTATCTTCTGCTTATGAAAGTTGCCTGTTTAAGTTTTTTTCCAGTGAATTACCTATTTCAATATCATGATAAACTGTGCTGTCAACTGGTACTGAGTCACATACTTCTACCACCACTGGACATCACAAAGCAGGATAAGAAGAACTCAGCTAAAATTTTAAACTAATTGCTAGTGGCCGAGTTTAAGACAGTATGAGAGCACAGAACATCTGGGATCCTCAGACAGGCATGGAATTCTAACCCACTCACAGGCTATGCTCCATGGACCTCATCAGATGCTCACAAGTGAGACTGTGGGCATGGTGAAGACTCCTGAGAAAGCTTTGGTCATGCTGCAAGTCTGGAGAGGGTACCAGCAGCAATGTGGGAAAGACACAAAGTCCCATCCAGATCTTTCTTCCCCCATTTTCCTTAAAGAACAAAAATTCTTAGGCTGGTGGGGGCAGGACACCAAAAACTGCCACCCTGCAATGGTAAAGACCTACTGCAGATGGAGGAATAGAACAGCGGAGAAAAGAAAAGAAAAACTTTTTAACTCTGGAGGAGGAACAAAGGCGAGGCTCTAACCTGGACTCAGACAGTTATAGGTCTCCTACAGCTGGGGCAATGGCAGGATCACTGAGAACACCCAACCAGAAGACCCAGGGACACAGTGCCTACCTAATACTAAAGTTGAATCAGAACAAGAAATGTCCTGCCAATCAACCTTCCCATACCTCAAGCTTAAGTAACAAGTTGGAGAGTGAAAAGAGATACTCTCTGGAGGTACAGGTGCAAAAGGAAGATCTAAAGCTGAAGGTGGAGCAGACACTGAGAAAAATCCTCTGCTAAGCCAGCCTGATTCTAAACACAAGATGCATTCGAAGACTATGACGCACTGAGGGCAACCACTGTAACAACAAAACCCAAATACAGCTCAACTCCTAACTAGTCAGACTCAATCCCCTAAGCTAAAGGCATAGAAAAAACAAACCATGCCCATTCCAAGGCTTAAAATCTGTTTACCCCAGTATATACTGTTCTACACAAGATTTCAGCTTTCAACAAAAAAATTATGGGGCATGCAGAATGATATCTGGAAAGTTGTCAAATATTTGGAAATTAAATAACACACGGTAAAACCTACAAAACCTGAAAGCTATGTAAAACAGAAACCTGTCAGAGAAGGAAAATTCAAATAATTTCCACTAAAACAAATGACAAAAAAGTGGTTTAAGACTGCACCCTATCAAAGGCAGAAAACCTGGAAAAACAAGGCAGTCCCATAGTTTCAGCTCCCACAGGTTTCACTGATTTCTAAATAGCCCAAGAGTCAATGAGGAAATCACAAGGAAAATTAGAAAATAATTTGAATTAAATGAATATGAAGTAAAAATGAAATTTGCAGGATGCAGCTACAGCAGTGCTTAGATGGAAATTTATAGCATTAAATGCTTATTTAAGAAGAAAGGCCTCAAACCAATGGTAAATACTTCCACGATATGAAGAAAGAAGAAAAGAAATGGCAAATTAAACCAAAAAAAACAAGCAAGACGAAGGAAATAATAAAGAGAAGAAATCAATGATACCGAGAACAGAAAAAAAAGAGAGGAAAAAATGTCAATGTAAAGAAAAGGTGGTAAGGGTGGGGAATCAATACAATTAATAAATATTTAGCTAATCTGAGGGAGAAAAAAAAGATGACAAAATTACAAGTATTGTGAAAGAGAGGACATCACTACAATCCCTATAGATATCAAAAAGATAACAAGGAAATATTACAGACAACTTTATCAAAAAGATAACAAGGAAATATTACAGACAACTTTATGTAAGTTCAACAAGTTAGAAAAAGCACACAATTTCCTTGAATGGCACAAACTGCCAAAGCTCACTCAGAAAGAAATAGGTAATCTGAACAGTATTATATCTAGTGAATATACTGAACTTTTATTTAAAACTCTTCCAGCAATAAGAAGCCCAGAATCAGCTGGCTACACTGCCAGTATATATCAAACACTGATGTTAGACACAACGCAAATTCTCTACAAAGTCTCCAAGAAACTAAAGAAGAAGAAATACTTCTGACTCATTTTATGATGCCAGTATTATCCTAATAAAACCAGATAAAGACATTATAAGAAAAGTAAACTATAAACCAATGTCACTCGTGAACATAGATACAAAAATTCTCTATGAAATATTAGCATATCAAACCATACAAAAAATCATGAGCAGGTAAAGCTCATCCATGCTATGCAAGGCTGGTTCAGCATTCAAAAATCAGTGTAATTCACCATATCAAAAAACTAAAGAAAAACCATATGATTACCTCAATAGATGCAGAAAAAAAGATTTTCACAAAATTCAACATACGTTCATGACTCTCAGTAACTTAAAAATAAAAGGGAATTTCTTCATTCTGATACAGTAGCACCAAAAAAAAAAAAAAAAAAAAAAAAACCATAAAAAGCAAGTGTAAATCTTACAAAATATATGTAAGATCTCTATGTCGGAAGGTATAAAACATCAATGAAAGACATCAAAGAATGCCTTTAAAAATGGAGACATATCATGAATTGCAAGACTCAACATTGTTAAAATGTCAATTCCCCTAAAATCGATCCAAAGATTCAACACAATCCTGATCAAAATTCCTGTGGGATATTTTGTGGATATCACAAAGCTATTTCTAAAATTTATGTTGAAAGACAAAGGATCCAGAATAGTCACTAGCAATCAAGGAAGTGAACAGGCAGTTCAAAGGGGAAAACATTATCTGTTTCAACAAATGGTAAAGAACAATTTCATAAGAAGGTAGGGAGGTAGACAGGGAAATAGGTAGACAGGGAGGGAGACAGAAAGGGAGGGAGGAAGGAAGGACCACTATTCAAACCTTGTACCCTATGAAAAGTTAACTCAAAAGGAAGTAAAACCTAAAATTATACAACTTCTAGAAGAAAATCTTTGTGACCTTTGGTTAGGCAAAGAGTTCTTAATAAGGCAGCAAAATCACAATCCATAAAAGAAATAATGAATAAATTACAAAAAAAAAAAAAAAAAAAAAAAACCATTGCTATCGACTCGATTCCGACTCATAGCAACCCTACAGGACAGAGCAGAGCTGCCCTATAGGGTGTCCATGCGGCAGGTGGCAGATTCAACTGCCAACCTTTTGGTTAGCAGCTGAGTTCTTAGCCACTGCGCCACCAGAGCTCCATTAGTAAATTAGACTTTATCGAAATTAAGAACATTTGTCCTTCAAAACACACTATTAAGATAATTTAAAAAAAAAAAAGCCACAAATTAATATAAAAAAAATGTACAAGCCAGAGAGTGGGGGAAAAAAAATTTGTAAATGACTTATCTGATATATTTGTATCCACAATACATAAAGAACTCTAAAAACTCAGTAATAAGAAAAAAATAAACAACAGTAAGATTTGAACAGACACTTCACAAAAGAAGATACTCAGATGCAAACAACCACAAGGAGAAGCTCAACATCATTAAGGAAATGCAAATTAAAACCACAACGAGATACTAATACACACTAGTTAGAATGACTTAAAAAAAAAAAACTGACAATAGTAAGTGCTGATGAGGATTGTAGAGCAACTGGAACTCTGATACACTGCTGGTGGTAATACAAAACAATACATCCATGCTA